GGCGGCTGCAGATTGAACAGACTGTGAATCCAGCTAAAGGATAAGAGGTTGTTTTAATTGGCTAAATCTGCTATGTACTAAGCGTATGGCTATGAATTTGTAGCCAAAACACTAATCTAAAAAAAATGTCATGTGCAATTTAAACACAAAACAAAAATGACATTTTCACTCGTCAATCCTAGTTTTGCCATGAGGGTTTTTAACCTAACATTTTATAATGACTACCAATTCCTTACCTTTGCTGAAGTAGAATTTTCATGATATACTCCTTGTACCAAGTCCATAAGGGCACTTGCTAAAAGTTCCACAACCTGAAAAGCAAGATAAAAAATTAAACAATTTCAAAAATTTATCCCTATTTTTACTTTAGAATGCCTCAGAAGGCTTGGTAGCTAGGCAATATTTATGTCTGATAGGAAAAAAAAAATGGGGTTATATGCGAAGATTCTGGCAAATGGCATTGCCCACCTGGATATTAAGAGCTATGATCCAATTTTTTTCAGTCATAATTTAAGCAAAGAGAAAAAAAATCTTATAAGCATAGCATTTAACCAATATACATGAAAATCCAGTAATAGCCATTTTGAACATAAGCTTATATTTCAGATAACTAATTAAATCTTAACCCAATTTATTTTCTGTATGTTTATTTCTGTCAGGCGGATACTTTTTAAATTTCCCCATTCTGGGAGCCATTACAATGCTAATTTTCATACTTAATATAGAAAGAAAAGCAAAAGCAAAAGATTGGTTAACCTTTCAAATGTGTTCGCTCAGTTGTACTTTAAATGCACTGTGGATATATTCTGTATAGGGATCCTGGGTCAAACATACCTTATTTTCATACCTTAAAATTTTTACAGAAACACAATATTGAAATTGTATTCATCAAACCTGTATTACTTTCAAAGCTCAGGCTATTAAAAAAAATCAAGCAAAATTGGAAGCTTTGAACCTGTTCCAGAATGTAAAACAAGCAGAAAACACTAAATGATCTCTTTGGAACTACTGTACAATTTAGAGTTGTTTATATAAACCGTCGTAATTCAAAAGGATAAAACAGTGCTATTTATTATAATGTTCAATGCAGCCATTTCAAACAAGAATTCCTCAAGGCAACCCCATCCACTTCTTATAAAGTTTTACTATCTTGTATATTTAGCTTCCAATATTATGCAGTCCTATATCTGATTCCTACTTCTTGCTTCCTAAAATTTAGCTCAGTTCTGATTGAATTAAAGGATTTTGTTTCAGCTTTTATCATTCTTGTAATTGAAGACATTATTAAGCCACAGGATACAGACCCAAACAACAAGATACTTCAATTTCAGGTACCCTGGATTTAATAAACATTTTCTTAGAGGCAAATTACATTAATTTGTAGAAAGACTTGCTTTAAGATTTTAACACATGAGCATTTATCTTCAAATTTATATTTACATTCATACTGCATAATACACGCAAGGCTGCTGATATGGAAATTTTACTGATTAAACACATTTTTTCTAGCTCTGCAAATGGGTTAATTTGTAAGACCTATACAAAGTCTTTTTTTTTTTTTTTAAATCACATTGCCCTTTAGTAACCAAATACTTAAGAAATATTGTAGCAATATGAGCTGCAGAGGAACTGGAAGGACAATGATCCTACAGTGTTACCAGATGTGTTGAGTTATTTAAGTGGGGAAGAGAGAAAAATGAATGGATTTTTTTCCCCTGAAGGTATCAGATAAGCCCTATTCCCAAATCCAGGAGGATTGAGTATCACCAATAGGTCTATGAAAGACTGTAACTAAATGCACAGCATCAGATCAGATTACAGTTTATACAAGCAACATCCCAAGATCCCCGTGATGGCTGGATACATAATACAGATCAATCACTCACTAAGAATTGCTATGGTTTTGAAAGAGTTTGAGCTCTGAGATCAGAACTGGTAAAGCGAAGAGGGATTTACAAAGAGAAAGTCTGAACTAAATGTCAAAATGATGGCATGAACTTTTAACAATGGATCTGGTTTTGGATAATCCCAGTGTTTATTTCCCTGAAATTCCAGACCAGGCTGAAGCAAAAAAACTTTTTATTCTCTCATTCCTTTTCTCTTAACACAATCAACAAATATAGACAGATCTGTACTTACAAGTTCATAATTTATAAATGACCTATCCTTCCAAATGGCCATATTTACTTAAGCAGAATACACCTTCATAGCCAATGACAATCATCAAGGAAAAAGCTTTGGGCTCATGGGTTAACAAATCCAGGAAGAGATTATGAAAAGCGGAAATAGCCTAGGGGACTTGAATGTGTCCCAGGCAAGGGTGATTTACCCAGTGCACACATAAATCTCTTTCCATTGTTTGAAATGTTTACTTTACTTTTAAAATAATACCAAAAAGAGATGTGTTTAAGTATCATCCTCCTTTAAAATTGCAAATATTTCTAAAAGACCACAGGGCTACCAGACACACATACTTTAACAAAACTAATCTTTTTTTTTCACTACATGGCTTACTACCACAGGTATTTACCTGCTTAGATATCTACTGCACTAAAATATATGAATTTTTTTTCTTCTTCAGGTTTCTTCTTCAGGTTTTAATGAATTTTTCTTCTTCTTCAGGTTTCTGAGGAATAATTTGTTCAAGGAACCTAAAATGATAGCAAGGACAATGGCACCAGAGGAGAATCCAGAAGTCTAAATACTAGACCTTCTGTGGCTAAGAGCCCAAGGCCCAGACTTCTTGGTGCTCTGGACAAAAGCAACCATGAGGAAGATTCAAGGACTTTTGTTTCTCAGGTCTGGGGTTGGGGGTTGGGAGTGGAGGGGGTTGGTAAGCAAACATTTCCTACTAGTAAAAGAAGATAGGCTAAAAGAGCCTCGATGTTTGCTACCCTCAGATGCCCAACAGATTAGACTACAATGAATCAGAGGAGAGGACTAGGAGCCGGAGGATCTAGAGACTATTTCATTGTGAGATTTGGGGCAAATCAATTAATTTCTCTAAGCTATAAAATGGAGAGAGTTGCAAAACATAATCCCCACCCCCGTCATCGGCATTTTAAAAAATTTTTTAAATTAAAAAAAAATTTATTTATTTAAATTAGTTTCAAGTATATAGTACATTGGTTAGACATCTACATAGTTCATAAAACAATCCCCTCAATTGCTCCCTCCCTCCTCTGGCCCTCCACTTAGACATCATATTAATGCTAACTGTATCTCCTCTGCCGTGCTCCCCATCCCTGTGACCAACTATCAACTACCAATTTGTACTTTGACCCTTCACCCCATTCTCCCAGCCTTCTAACCCCTCCTCTGTCTGTCACCCAACTGTCCACTATATTTGTGAGTCTGTTTTTGATTAGTGCAAAACATAATTTTTAAGGTCCCTTCCTGTTCTAAGATTCTGAGCTTCTAGAAATTCAAATCTTGTTATTTATAATTAGGCATGTAAGTTTAAAAACTGCTTTTTTGCTAATATGTTCTTTCCACATGGACCTTTCCCTTTGTCTGAATTTGACTGATTACTTTCTTTGTGAACTTTTTGTACCCGAGTCTCCTTGGTTCCAATACCTAGAATGATAATCAAACAATTTCCATTTTAAAATCATTTAAATCATTTCTATTTTTTAAATCATTATGATTGGTAGCCTGCTCCACCAGCTGGCAAAGTCTTACTTGGGTCAATTAAAGGTCACATTGCTGAACTCCGGGTCTTGAAGGGCTCTAATGCATAGGAATAATTCATATATATAGGATTCAGAATGATGTCAGGTTTAAGTATAAAGTTGCAACAAACAAATAATGGCACTACTTGGCCACATCACTTCCCTCTCTAATGAGTAAATATGTTGGGCATTTTGAAGAGTATCTGGAGCATAATAAGTCTCAGTGAGTGTTAACTTATTATTCTTCTATACTTCTATATTATTACTCTGTATTCAATATAAGTCTTGGATAGATGAAGGGTATAGTATGGAAACCACGAGTTGTGTGCCCAAACATTTTAGAAGAAAGTGGGTTTTAACTGAACAATGGAACACACAAAAGGACTATTTTAACCCAAATCAAAGATCTCTGTAACACTGACTTCTTGCATCCTGAAACAAATTTCGTATTAAATGGCTATCACCATGTTATAAAATTTACTTCAGCTGTCTAGAGTAAACAAGAAGAACATTATCTTCTTAAATTTTTGCATTTTTGGAGGTTGTGGGAATAGCAGCATTGCTTACCTGTACATGCAAACGCAAAAATGTGTTTCTTTTCAATTTGTGTCATATGTTTAAATTTGACTCTAAAGAAATGCCATACGTTATCTCTCAATCTTCTAACACCTTAGATTCCAGTGAACCAGAAACGGTAACCATTCACAGTGTTAGTGCTATGAATTGGCTTTTCTTGCCACCTCATTTTTTGGCTACCAGGGAGGTGACGTAGAAAAGTAAGTGGACAGTGCACCCCCAACTGCTATTCTTAAGCAAACTGTTGACTCTTCCCACTTCAATCTCCAGCTTTTCCCCAAAGGAAAGAAACAGGTAGTATCCACGTGCACCTGAATCTTACTTAGCACACAGATCTGATATAATTGAACTTTGGAGTGAATTTCTTAAGCAGTAAATTTGTAAGACAAATTTCACCAATCTCAGGGGAATATGTAATTGCATCATTCTTTATCTTTTGGTAAGAGTAACTACAATTCAATGATTGTTTAACCAAAAAGCTAAAGTGATGCATAACCTCATAAAAGGTGTTGTGATGATTATGCCCTGAGCTATAATAAAATTCTCATTATAAAAAACAAATTGAGAGAAGTAGAGAGTAGTAAGAAAACAACAATGAGCAAAAACATCCTCACTTACATTTCTATACAAAGATGCCTGTAACATATTCTTAAGGAAAAAAAAGCTGGTTACAAAACAGAAGAGCATGATAGGTACTTTTAAAACAAAAATGAGGTCAATTTATGTGTTTACTTATGCAGAGAAAAACATCTGAATGGAGAAACAACAAAATAGTAATAATAATGATAATATGGAAGGAAGTGGTAAGAGTCTGATTTTTAATTAAAAATTAATTCTTCAATTTTAAGAATTGCTTAAACTTATAATTGCTTAAATTTACAATGTATTATAACATTTTCTCCCTCTTTTTATTATACTGCCTTAATAATCAGATAAAACACTAAACTTACTTCCACGTGTGTGTGTGTGTGGGGGGGGAATACCCTGCTTTTGGTGTCAAGGAAGCTTCATGCTAAGCTGTATCCACAAATTGATTTATGTAATATATTAATCGATAGTCCCTG